CTTGGTAGGTGGCTAATGATAACCATTTGACACGTTGTTGATAACTGTTTGGAATAATGTTGCATTCAGTCAATTATTACTTGAGCTTCATGCGATGATAAAGTGAGTAATAACATGAGCTTCATGTGATAATAACACTCCTGTTCTGACTGTGGATGACATAAAAAAAATATAAAGTCTATATAAACAATATTATCAATGTGGACTCAAAATTCTTGGTAATGAACTGGTTGTTTCTTAGTCTTGTAGCTTTAATTTGAAAGCCAATTACTCAATGCCGGTTTTTAATTCGCCCGCCAGCCCCTGTCCAGTCTCTGAATAATAAACAAAGAACATCCATCTATATATATATATATATTATTGACAAAAGAATATGTCTGCAAAGCTTAGTTTTTTTTCCCCAACAACTATCCATCTATAATTCATATAATTCTGATAATGGCTGTTTTTCAGTGATGAAGGAAGTAATAAAAAACATCTCACTTTAAATGTTGTGTACATAGTGACAGTGGCATTGAATACGGACACTAATAATAAAACTTAACATATGCACTAATTTGACCAGACAGACTTAGGCTAGTCTATATGTCATGAGATAATGATTTTTCTTTTATATATTACAACAGGCCAGGCCAGAATTACAAATGATCAACAATTCAAAAAAGATAAGAACAATCATACACATGAAGCATACTCTGATATAAAATTTTTATATGTTATCATTCTACATCTTCAAATTTCCAAAAATAGATGTGCAGAGTTACATTTTCCACGAGTAAAGTATCTGGCGTAATTCTGACTCTAGCCGAACATTTGTACTTTTCTTCACATCACGCCTGTGTCACAGTACAATCAGCATTAAACAGTACACCATCAGCATCTTCTGTCACAGTAAACTCAGCATTGAACACTATACTGTCAATAGCTGTGCCACAATACACTAATTGGGAGAGCAGCATCATCCCGTTACACAGCAGTCATCTGTGATTAATTCCTGTTAAAACTCCACAGTATTAATTCAAGATGCCTGAGATACTGTCGCATATGTACCCTTGGTGATGCACAGTATACTATCACAGTACAGTCAGTGATGCAAAGTATACTGCATCTGTATGCATACCATCTTGAACAATGTAAGAATTTATCCTTTGATGAAAATAATTCAGCATGTAATGATAAAAATGAAAAATAAATCCACGTACGTATTTCTCTACAAAACATTTTTCAGAACTGTAGTAGGGCTTCCATTTGTGAACCTTTTGTCATGAATTACTCTTGAAACAAAATAACAAGAGGGCAAGCTTCTGCTCCTCGAGTGACACTATTGAGGTTTCCACCAAGGAGGAACTATTACTAAACTGTAATTCTTTTGAAGCTTAATTCATGCACATAAATATGTTCTCTGTACATATTCTCTTTCTTGTAAGTCTGCTTAAATCCTTCTAACAAAACTAAATATACATTCTCATAATATATAATAAACAGCTTGCTTTACTTAGCAAGTGAAACTGCAAAAGAAACTTTATTAGATCCTCTCATTACTTACTCTGAACTTCAATACAAAGTTTAGAATCATAAAACTTTCAGAAAGTGTTAATTTTAAATAACAAGAACAGGGCTTGTATTTCTACATAACCAACAGAATTATAGATTAACATGTGCACACCACAGGTGATTAACAGTCACATATATCAATACATTAACCTATCAACAGGAGAGAATAGGAAAATCTCATTTAAATAAAAGAGACAGGCATACATCATAACTATATTGGTCTGTTTTACATTTCAGAAACAATAATGGAAAAATACATACATACAAATATGTATGCATGAGTGTACATATACGTGTGTGTGTGTGTGGGGGGGGGGCATGTATATAAATATACAATCATAAATACATATACATGTATGAAAAAGAGAGAGAGAGAGAGAGAGAGAGAGAGAGAGAGAGAGAGAGAGAGAGAGAAGAGAGAGAGAGAGAGAGAGAGAGAGAGAGAGAGAGAGAGAGAGAGAGAGAGAGAGAGAGAGAGAGAGAGAGAGAGAGAGAGAGAGAAGAGAGAAAGAGAGAGAGAGAGAAGAGAGAAAGAGAGAAAGAGAGAAAGAGAGAAAGAGAGAAAGAGAGAAAGAGAGAAAGAAAGAGAGAAAGAAAGAAAGAGAGAAAGAGAGAAAGAGAAAGAGTGTGTGTGTTTCATGTTCACATAGTGTATGTATGCATGTATGTATACAAGTCTGTATGTGTATATATGTGTGCGCGCACACACATACATGCCTCCAAATAAACTTAAATAAAATAATACCATATATTCTATGTATGAAAATATGACAAAATATACACTTCTAGAGGCAAATTATTAAAATTCATTTGTTAACAAAGTTGTAATGATATAATTTGGGATTACGGTTCCTTTGAAGCCATCTTCAAAAATTTATGTTAAACAGTACGTAAAAACGTTCCTATAAAAACAAGAAAACAGAATAGAGTAATAACTGCATAACTGAAAACTTAATTACATTCTGATTAGGAAGGAGAATCAACGAAGTTCGAAAGCAGTGCATGCAACTTCAGCAAACTAAAGGCCAAAAACTCATAATAACAGAGAACAACAAGTGTATTCTAAATAAACCTTTTATAGTTACAAAATACCAATCTCTTGTAAGATAAAACGTGCTGTCACTAGTGAAGTAGCAAAATCCTAATAATGTACCATGAATTTGTTGCTACTGCTCTCTTTACTATTATTCACATAATAATATTAATGAGAGTAATAACAGTCACAGTTACAAAAGTAAAAAACACAAACAGAAGTCTTCCAGTAAAACTTGGATAAAAACTAAATGCTTGGCACATATAAAAACAAAATGCAGACTGGCGTTCCTTACGGAGCAAAAACACTCATGTTCGGACCATTAGCACCAACTACCTTCAACAGTGCGTATATCTCAAAGAAAACAAATAAATTAAATAAACAAAGACCTGCAAACAGTTTAAAAGCACTTACTTTGTCAATATTTTTTTCTGAATATCGTATTTTTCTTAACTAAAAAAATTCTCTCTTCCTTAGTCCTGACCAGAAGTCACAATTAATGACAAAAAAAAAAAAAAAAATCATTACTTGACAATGTCCTTCCCTTTTTATCTGTTGGGCTGAGAAAACTTTATTCAGATCTCTTGTCAAGGAAGCTGCACCTCGCAAAGACCATCCTGTGTTTCTTACTATGTACAAGAGAATGTAACCTGCCCTTATAATACTTTTCTGTGTAGCATTATCCAAATAAAAAAATAGATGTATATAACAATCCACTGATATCTGATACCTTTTCAAGTTAATTTGTGCAATAGAAGAAACACAGTATCATATAATAAACCTGTTCCATAAACAAACCTTTAAATTATTTGTTCTAACGAAATGATCTGAGATACTTGTTATCTCTTTGTACGTTTTGGTTAGTCGAGCTATGCCAACCTGTTTTCAAAAAGGTAAAAGCTTACGTGTGTAAGTTTGAGTATTTGTGTATGCTTGTGTTTTACAAAGACAATACCAAATCATGAATAAAAAAACTTGAGAATAGCAGTCAACTTCCTGCACAGGTATCGTGCAGCCTTTCCCCACAAGCCTCCGAACTCAAGCAGACTTTAGAGAAGCTTGGACTCCTCACAAACAAAGTAAATGATAATAGAATGATTTCCTCTGAGTATTCCACTGAACAATACTCCTGGACATAGCCCATTTATTCCAGTTTGGTTTCTTCTTTCCTTGAGGTAGAAATTTATGCTGGATGGTGACGCATGCTCCAATCTTAAGTGCCTCAATTTGGATGGCAAAAGGACTTCTCACTCCCCTCCTTCCTTCACACGGAAATCAACTGTTAAACTGCACGAGGGAGACAGAAAGAATGAAGAAAACAAAAAATCATAAAGATACCCAAACAGAGCCAAATTAACCACTTCTAAATTCACTACGAACTCCTACATAATATAATTCTTTACTATTTACAACTAAGCCCCTACAATCAGAAGCATCTGTTCTCATACAATTTGTAAAACTGATCAATACATATGAAAGCCTTCATAAAAAAATGACATCTGATAAAACTTTCCATAACATTAATTCATAAGTTCCTTCTATCACATACTCTGTAGCTACTTATCAATGGAAACCTATGTGTCCTGTTTATTCCATTGCATTCTCTAACTTATGCTTTTAGCACTGAAGTCAAACTTCAAAAACACTTTGAGAATGGTTTCAAGCTTTCAATGAAGTGTGAGCCTATAGACTTTTAGAAACTCATCTATACAGTAACTTGAAATCTCTTTAACACTTCTAACTTCATCTGACTGTTTCAATGACACTTTTGTGAGTTACAGTACATGAAATGTGGAACATACATATACATATACATACAAATGTACATACATAAATGATGCATATATACAGGCTTATACACGAATCAAAATTCAAGAATGAAAGGATAAACTGATGTTAAGAGACATTGGCAGAAAAAATAGTTTCTTTCATCAATGAAAAGGAATCTTAATCCATTATTATATTTATTTTAATTGTAGTAATTACTATAATTATTATTACTGTTATCAATGTAAATTAACTTTATGTACAATTTGAAAACTGACTTTGGTTACTGTCAATCTCTCTTTAAATTATTACTCTTAATCTTACATGAAATTTATATAATCATTTATCTATTTACGGATGTATTTAGACATTCTCTTTTACTCATTCCACTTTCTTCATACTCGTACCCCTCCTCCCCATCCCTCTCCTCCTCCTCCCCTTCCTCCTCCAAGCTCTCTTCCAGGTCTCCTGAACCCTCCAACCTTCTCTCTCCTTTCGACCACAGTTTCACCCAACCATATAATTATGCACTGAGTTCTTTCAAGCAATCTACTGGCCAATAACATTTTGCAAAGACACTAAGAGTCTGCAGGCTCTGTGATTAACAAAGAGACTAGATCAGAGAGCGAGCAAAGAAATGTGAAAAGGGGGTCAGGGGGGTTTTGATGGGCTGGCGTGGGTTAAGGCGACTTCCTTGTTTAAAAACACGCTAGCTCTACAAATGGGCTATAGGGCAGGGAGACTACTGTGGCAGAAGGGAGAGGAAGTCACAATTCCAAGATATGTATTTAAGACCCGGTGAAGGTTTCTGTGTGGGGAGGGGGGGGGGGGGAGAGCCACAAGAGAGAAGGCAGAGGAGATTTGAAAAGGAATAAGAGATTTGAATTTGTACAAGTGGTGGGATTAAAGAAAAAGAAAAAAGAAAGAAAAGAAAAGAAAAGAAAAATCAAAACTACTGACAGGTGTGCGTGTGTGTGATTTTGCTCCCAGCATCAGGCGGACAGAGAGAAGCCAAAGAAGAAATATGCAACGGGTTTATCAAAGAGCAGGTACACAAACAATATCTGCGAAGAAGACCGACAAAAATCGAGACGCAAGAGATAACCAGTTTGATCTGGTCTACACAAGATACACGCAGATATAAACGGGGAAAAAACAAGTGTGTACGTACTAACAAAAAAGGGTGATTGCATGTATAAATCAAGTCATACATACACACACTTATTCACATATGTACCTCATGTTTACGTATATGCATGGATTACATGAGAGGGTGACTGTGGGATGGACTCTAAGAAGCAGTGATGAATTACATACAGAATGTATCTCCCTTCTCAAATACACCTTAATATGTTTAATATAAGCTAATGATTTATTTTTTGACATGCATATTCTTAGTTTACTCTACATGTTCACAGCACTCAGCTGGAGAACATCCAAGCCTCAAGTCTTAGTCTATGAGCACTGAATGCCACCTCCGCGAGGGCCACTGGAAAAAACTTTAAAATTACGGGATAAATGGTACTATCGAGCACTATTTGGAGGCTCTTTGGCTAGTGTCTCGGACTCTGCATTAGATGCATGTAGTGTTTCCTGCATCCACGCCACTATTTACACGTTACCAAATTATATCAGATATATAACCTTTGTCTCTGCTAATCCACACTTTCTTTTTGTTCATTTTTCTTGTCCTTTTTTCTTTCTCATTTTGTTTTGTTTGCCTTGACCTAGCAAAGTCTTTTCCAACTTCTGCACTCTCATTCAGTCCATCTCTGCTTTTTGTCTTGTTCTTAATGCATAGTTACGAGAAGTCACTTCCTCCGGGGCAAATGAAGAATCATTTGGGATATTCTTGGTCAAGTGTTAATACTTTATAACTGCACTTGTGTCATGTTTTCTGTCACAGTTTTCACTGGGGATTTCACTGGTAACACAGTTTTAGCAGATTCTCAAACACATCTTACTAAAAAGTTGTGCATGACTTGTGTGGGGAGGAGGGAGAAAAAAAATAATAACAAAATAAAAAGAATTATAATAATAACAATAATAATAAAAAAAAAGATAAACCCATTAAAGATGAACATGTCAACGTAATAAAATGCAAAATATTAATAATGGTAACAATGTTGTAATAATAACTGAAGAGACAAAAGAAACTTTAACAGTGTGGACCTATTGTACTACTATCAAATACGAGTCTGTCGTCTGCAGAAAGGCGGCGACACTTAATCTGGTGGCAGATATGTCTCCAGTTTGTACTTCTCGCGAATGAAGGGCCGAACGTCGTCCTTGTCGACCAGGGACTCGAGGAAGGGCACTAGTTTCTGCAGCTCTCGGTCCTCCTTGTCCACGAACCAGCTCTCAATGGGTATGCCATTGTTGATCTGGAAGGTGCAGATTTATTGGGATTAATTACAAAGAAACAGTGAAGAGGGGGAAGGTGAGGGGGAGAGGGGGGGTAGTGGATGAATGAGGCAGAATATTTTGTAAGATGAAGGGAAATGGGGGGTGGGGGTCTGGGGGAGGGGGGGAGAAAGGAATGCTTTTAATGCGTCAATGACAGTATGTGTGTGTGTGTGTGTGTGTGTGTGTGTGTGTGTGTGTGTGTGTGTGTGTGTGTGTGTGTGTGCGCGCGTGCGCGTGTGTGTGTGCATATGTACAAGGTGACGATTTACCAAGATAGAAAAGGGCAGAAAAGGTAGAAGGAAGGCTGGATGAAGAAAAGGAAGAGATAGAGGGAAATTATGAAATAATGATAAGTCAATTTCAGCATTTCTTCTCTAGGAACATATACTATAAAAATCAATAGGAACATATACTACAAAAATCCACATTCTTCACGTATCATCATAAAATACAAGAGGCCTACACACCTGGTAACCGAATGCTTGCGGCGAGTTGTCTATGATTATGGTCTTGGAAAGGTCTCGGCCCAAGATGGTGAGATCCTTGACGTAGTTGCCCTGCACACACACACAGTGCTCGCGGAACAGCCGATACCTGGGAAGAGGGGTGAGGATCATATACTTCCTTCTTTTTTCTTTTAAATCTTACATAGAGCTCAATGTGAAATAAAATAAAGACATTAAGAGAAGAAGTAAAAATCATAAAACAGATCAGAAGTGAAGAAGGAATAAGTAGATAAGAAAACCGAAAGGCAAAAAAAAAAGAAAAGAAAAGAAGAATGAAAAAAAAAGTAAGATGAATTATCAATCAAGACTCCTAAAAGTAGCTCATTACTCCAAGATACTTACTTGATCCACTTGCGCTGTGGGTCTAGCAAGTTCATGAGCTTGTCTGCATACACCTTCTTGCTGGCTGTGAACAGGATGACCTCATACAGTTGTGACACATGCTCGAGGAACTCTCTGAAGAAAGGTCGTGTGCGCACGAACACCTGGTAGTTGACATCCTGGAACACCACCGGGAAGCTGAGTGTTGCATCTTCAAGCTCTTGAAGGCTGCAGTGTACTAATGTTTCGTCCTGTCAAAATAAAGAGAGACGTTTTATTATAAGTTTGGAGATTCATGTGTGCAGAGGATGGGGCAAAACCAAGACTCAATATAATACAGTATAAAAATGACTTACATTTTTTTAAAACAGTGCTAAAAGGACAGAAAGAGAACTGAGACTCAACATACCATAATACCAAATGAAAAACAATCAAAATAAAATAATAGCAAAAAAAAGCTCGTCACTTTTTACCCCTAGTAACTGCACCCAATGTAAGTAACAGTCATATATTAGGGTTTAAATAGAAAAGGAAAATGCTGAAGGTGCAAAATTACAAAACGGAGGAGGCTGAGTGGGTGACAAGGAAACATGAAGAAAGAGAGGCAAATCACACAAGAAGGTCCAATACAAACCAGATCTAAGACGAGGGTAAACTCTGGCGAGCTTCGTGTTTTCAGAGGCAACGCTGGATTTCTGGCACGCATCTCTGGGGTGAGAGGAGGCAGGTGTTTGATGAAGAAGTATGGGTCGAAAGCCTCCCACTCCTCGTACCCTTCATCGCAGGAGGTCTCGTACGTCCCTCCGGCCTGTAATTTGGCGTTGTAAATCATATATTAATCAGCACCACATGTCCCTTGGGTAATGGACACAGAACCTGGGAAACTCAGAATATCAAATAAAATCATTTCTTCCAACCTTACATTTTTCTAACTTTCATTCATAACAAAAAAAAACAAAAAAAACAATATGCTAAAAAATAAGGAAGAAAATTAGAAATAACAATACCTCATAATTCTCCTTGTTTTCCTGCACTGCACACTGGGAGACTTGCGCAATCATCATGTCTGCCTCCTCAGGATCAAGACCTGTAGTTTGTGGTACAAAGACATAAAAAAAAGACTTAGAAACACTAACCTTGATAAATAAAGGAAAAAACAAGGACGTAGGAAGGACAGAATTTTGGAGAGTTGATTGGTTAATCCTTGTGAAACTCACTACAAAAAAGTAAACAAAGGCTTGGACAGGGTCAAAACCTCTCCCCAAAATTACAATTTAATAAGTTATATTATTAAGCCAAGTTTTAAACATGTTCATATCTAGGATGTGACATTTAGGTAAAAAGGCACACGGCATTTGGCCGTGCGCTGAATTTGGAAGCTTAAAACCCCGAAGCCTTACCCTGAGGAGAGTCTGGTGTGGGGGGGTCGAGGATGTGCGGAATGTCGAGCTGGATCCGTGTGGAGAGCGGAGTGAGCTCAGAGCCCCGCGAGGCATCCTGGCAGAGCCGCCCCTCCAGGCTGGCCTTGTCCTCCTCCTCCTCCAGCTCCTCCTGGACACGCTCGATTGGGTAGGCATCCTCCACAGACAGGGCCGGGGAGAGCGATGGAGGGGCAGAGTCCACTGAATACACAGGCGAAAACAGGGATGTGTCCATTGCTGAATTCTTCATCTCTTGTACATCCTTCAACATCTGTGGGAATGAATGTTGCAAGTGTAATCAACCACTAAAAACACATTGTGCTTGATGTTATTGAGTACTAAACAAGAACAATAAAGGCTATATCAAGCAGAAGGAATGTAACTTTAACAAGTTCTTTGTAAGAATTCTTGTAATCAGTGAAAATAATAACCACCTTTTAAACATATATTCTATCTTAATGTAGTTGTACTCTACACATCTATCTAAACAGCAAAGGCATGGATTGATGAGAATAAAAGTTTACACATCAATATTTGCTTTACAGCACTGTGACTATGATGATAATGGTGATGATGATGATAATGACAATGATGATGACAACAACAACAACAATAATAATAAAATAGAACCCCAATGCATTCCGCCCCCCATACCTTTGATGCTTCGGGGAGATGCGAGATGTGATGATGACGGTTGTGTGCACGTCTGGGGGAGTGAGGTTTATAGTCTGCTGGAGACTCGTTCTGACGCCTGGAGCGAGCGAGAGAAAATAGAAAATGGTTAATGAATAATCTATGACTATTATCATTCACAACCCAAGTTTCATACAGAGCAAATAGGTTTACATCTATTTCCATCAACCTTGCTGCTAGGACAACTTACTTGCTAACTCTAAGGGGCCTCGGTTTGAGCAAATTCGTAGACACAATGTTGTTATCCGAATCAACGACTGGAGCTGCAGAACTCACGCTGCACTTGGAGTACTTGTTGGGATAGCGCCGGGCACGCAGGGGTGTGTGCTGAGATACCGTTATATTGACGACACTGTTGTACTGAGCAGGGGAGACCACTAGATTCTCATTTTGTTCCTGTGATTGATACGAGCCAATGGAGAAAATTAGTACCAACAGAAGTACCCATGCAAAGTCTGGCACGAAACTAAAGAATCATCCATTAGGAATAAGTTATTAACAATGCCTAACCTGAGTAACAGTTATAATGATATTGCAACACAAAACAGTTTCTCATCATGCTATTTCTTAAGCCATTAGCAATAACTAATTTTACAAAATCTGCTCACACCAAAAAGTCAAAAGAAAATTATTATATAATGGATATATTTTAACCCATTGCTGTGACTTTTGTTTATTGTGTACATGCATAGTAATTAATCACCAAGGAGTCCATTACTAGTTCTACCTATCTCACCTGTTTACCCTCCACTTTGACTTTTGGAAACCTATTTTTTGTTGCTAGTAATTTTCAATAACATTATAATCCTTATAATGTCAATAATAAAAATATTGATATTGCGTGTGTGCATATTCGAGGAATGGGGAAATCAGGTGAGGTTAAGTAAGACCCATAAAGTGCTCCCTTGGTGGCTGAGTGCTTGTGGAGCCGCGTACCCACAGCCAAAGGGCCAAATGTAAGAACTTTGGCTTTGAATCCACATTAAATTTTAGAACTCCTAATTCAATCCAAAAAAATCAACAACAATGAAGTGAATTGCCAAAATAAAATCCCATGACCCTACAATGACAGTGCCAGAAATTTCTGTGTCACTCATTCTGGCAACAACAGTCAAGCCTATTGGCTGGGGAGTCCACTGCATATTGGAACCTCCCACTCAACTTGCTTTAGTGAGTCAGCCTATAAGCCATACCTGTCATGATGAGTTGTTTTTTCATGATGGCTATAGGCATGCCCGGTTGTAAGTGTCTGACTCCCCCCTCCCCCCGAATAATGTACAATCATGATCTAGAGAGAGAGAGAGAGAGAGAGAGAGAGAGAGAGAGAGAGAGAGAGAGAGAGAGAGAGAGAGAGAGAGAGAGAGAGAGAAAGAGAGCGAGTGAGCGACAGAGACCCCCTCTGTCTCCCGACCGCCCCCATCATTCACCTCAAACGTATGGCCAGACTTCTTGACCGCTCGGTGAGATCTCGGTACTCTAACCGGAGACTTGAGTGGCCGGCTGGCGGAGAGGGCTCGGGGTGGAGCGGGTGAGAGTGGCGTGCGACGGTGGTGGATCCTGCTGTTACCGCCTCCTCCTCCGCCCCCACCACCACTGTTGCTGCTGTTGCTGCTAACAGGGCTGCTGCGTTGGCGACGGCTAACACGGTAACGCAGGTTCATCCTCAAGTCTACCACATGCCTGGGAAAACAGATAATGACAAGTCAGTATGGTAAGGTAATCATTTGTGAGTTTTTAACTATACCATTTCTTTCTACAATGGCTAAATGTGTGAAGGAAGTCAAGAGAGTGAAAACATGTGGAAGAGAAAGAGAGAAGAAAAATAAGTGCTGTAAGTGATTCAGTATTCCTGTGTGTGTGTGTGTGTGTGTGTGTGTGTGTGTGTGTGTGTGTGTGTGTGTGTGTGTGCATGCATGTGTGTGTGTATGTGTGCGTGCATGTGTGGGTGTGTGCGTGTGTGTGTTCTTGTACATCTGTGTGTATATGTAATCATGTTTCTGTACATGTACATGAATACTTGTGTAGAAATTTAAACCTAACACAGGTGTAGTTGAACTGGAATATTGTAATCAGCCAGAGATGCACAGAACATGAAAAAATATTTTAGCCAAGTTGATGGTCAGCAATGTACGATAATGAGGGCATGTTTATTCCACAGGAATATAAAAGGTAAATTAATAGGCTACTCTCACAAATACCGAGTATCAAGTGATACCTCCCATGCCATAACACATATGCAAACACATACAAAAATGCAAATGGAAACATGTTATTCTCTCTCTCTCTCTCTCTCTCTCTCTCTCTCTCTCTCTCTCTCTCTCTCTCTCTCTCTCTCTCTCTTTCACACACACACACACACACACACACGCGCGCACACACGCACACACATAAATATCCCACATAAATATCACCAATTACAATTGCTGTTAGAATGGAGTAGGAAAAAAGTGGTAAACAAATCAAGAGGTAAGATTCTGTAAATGAAAAAGTATAATAAAATAGTTGCCTCTCCAGATTCCAGTAGTGCCAATTCCGTCGTTCAGATCTTGAAGCGGGCAAATGACATTTTCCGCGTAGAACGACGGTGCCCGACTGGAACCTTCACAACCTTGGTTCTATTTCAAACACGCGGTGCTAAATCTCAATAATATATACGAGTCAAAATTAAACAACTTGAATATTCATCAAACGAACTAACTGCGCGTGGACTGCTGCCAAGGGAGCAACGGAATAAAGGTTCATGTACCTGAGTTAGAGACCGGCTTTAACTTGAAAGCATTTAACGTCTTATAAAACCCTCATCTCCATTGAAAGTGTAAAATGAGTTTCGACATATTTTCCCCGAACAAATACTAATCCCCATATTTCTTGCCTGACTGGCAGGGAATAAAAAGGGCAACTGGAGGCTATTCGTGTATGAGAAACCGCTAATCATCCATTACCTTGACTGAACAATGCATTTTCAATTTACAACTAAACTAAGACATGACATGAAAATTCAATTGTTGGGGCAGTGACATGTGTCTCCACAGAAACCTAAATTACCATGTTATAAGCTTAACATTAAAATGAAAATTAGAATAGGACAAGATAAATAACGTACCTCTCTCGAGCTTCATTATCACTCAAATCAGTAACAAGTTTCATACATCCTCATTTGCATACACACATCCACACACACACACACACACACACACACACACGCACGCACACACACACACTTATTTGCTACCATCATTAACCTGTTATCTGACCATAACTTCTACCTTTTAAGTTACCCTTTCGCTCAATTACTCAAACATAGAAAGGTAACACATGAGCACCTGGAACAGGCGAGTATGGCAGTCATACAGGCATAATTGTTTGGAAAAGTATGGCTTCTAATATGGTGCCTGCCCTCAAGCAATACCCTCACGCTGCATCTGCCCCTCGACCAATGCACAAAGCTATGCGTAGACACTGCAATCCCACTAAAAACTGAAGGTTCTTTTCAACTTCGTACCTTTCTAGGGTTCCACCAGAAAAAAAAATATTCCCAGATAAGATATCACAATTGTTTGACAAGATACAATTTGCAGAAAAGGAAATCCTCTATATCTAAACCTGTGTTAGATACATATATATAAAAAAGAAGAAAATGGAAATCAAGTACTTTTTTCCTCCCCCAGTAGCATTCACTAAAAGCATCTGCCTGGTTCACATAAAAAAGTTTTCTGTATATTCACATGGACACCATTCTATTTCACAACTTCTTACTTTCCTCAAAAAGTATTTCTAAAAATCCTTTCTCAACGTGACAACTCTAGTAAAAGGTATACCAACACAATATGACAAATATGACAAGTACAATGTCCTATTATATCCATTTTCTAGAACATCCAATAAATAAATACTTATTACTTATTTTCCATAAAGCATTTGAAATTTCAACACCCAAGTAACACTGAATAAATACACAACTGCATACATGTATAATGAATACATGTACATAGGTATATACACCATATAAAAATAAATGATTGTATGTGTGTGTACCTGCATCATGTATAAGTGCTTTTTAAGTATATATGCAAATATGTGCATATGTATGCAAGTGCATGTACACCTGTAAGTATGTGTATGCATATGTAAGTAAGGATGTGTCAACAAAGCAATGCATACAAATACAAACAAACAAGAA